TCAAATAAAGTATAACTACTGGGTGATACCCACGTTCCTATTTTTAAGCAAGTGCTGCTAACTTTGAATGGGTAACAGTATTCGCAGTCGTCTATTGCATTAACCTTTTACAGACCTTACCTTGAGCTTTACATCATAGAGATCCACCAGCTGCTGAAGAATGGCTGAGGCAACATCCGGGTGTTCGTCAATGGCCGCCGCCAGCGCTGGGGCAGCGGCTTTTCTGATAATTTCTACATCGTGTACGACATCGTCCAAAAGTGCACTACATAATGGCTCTGGGGCAGTGAAACCTACTTCCTGCCATAACCTGACGAGTTTTAACACACAATTGGTCATTTCAATCTCACGCTCAACAAATAGCTTTAAAATAAAGAATATAAATGGAAAGGATTAAAATAACATAAAATAGCACCTAATAAACAAACCTATTCCCAAGAACACATCAACAAAGCTGGAATCAAACGAATACCTCTCAGCTAATTTAGCATTTTCTTCATCAACATCAAACTTGGCCACCCACAATCGTCTTACAAGTCGAGCAGTCTGTGATGTCCCATGATCCCTTGTAGACAGAAGGTAGGTGAGGACCAGAAGCCCTTGCAAGGTTGCAAATCGCAATGAGGCTGCGGGGGACTCCAGGGAGTTTAACAGAACAGAGATCTCGCCTGGTGCTGCTGTGGTACAACCATATTCCCCGCTTGTCGCCTTGCACAGCTCAACCAGACTAAGAGATGCCAGTTGCTGCAAAGATAAATGAATCAGGAGTAAAAAAAATGAAAAAAGAGGGAGGGGAATTGACATTGTAAACAATTTACCTGTAATCTCGAACCCTTGATGGTGTCCGCACTCGTGGAAATAATCTCAGTCAATAAATACAGCATTTCTTCTCTTGGTAACAAAGCCGGGTCATTCTGACAAAATAAATATATAAATGAGTGAACCAAAACAAAATAAAAACGAGGGAGGGGAGAAAGGGCAGGTGGGGGAGCATCCCACTCACTTCATCCTGCTCATCTTCCTCGTCATCATCGTCGTTATTCGCTCGTAATTTACAGTGTTCAGCAACAATCTGCAACGCTTCCTGTCTGAGATCTTCATTTCCCTTGACATTCTTGCCTCCATCTCGTAGCACGCATCTTAGAAAAGGAAAACAGAACGCAAACGCTGGGGCTGACAGAAGCTCGGTCAATGAGTCTGATGAACTTGATCCAACAATATTTAGATCAGGAACTGATGTGGAGTGGAGGACAGAGATAACTCGCTTGGTCGCTGATAACAAATCCTCTTCACACCAGGCTTGGTCAATACGGCACATTGGTTTTAAAAGTCGCAGAGTGACGTATCCAACGAGCTCAGCTGACGTGGAAAAATGAAGAATGACAATGTTTAAACTGGAAAAAAATCTAACAGCCAGCGTTGTATAGAAGGGAGGGGTAGGTTGGAGAAGAATAGTCTCACTACCACGTTGCCAATTTCGTGCACCAACCCCTCCCCTAACCCAACAACAGTCAGCTAATAACAAGTTAGGGTTAAAGTTGGGTCCTAAAACTTTAACACTCGCAGACACAAGATAACCCATGTTTAAGAACAGTCTGCTACTACGAAGTTGGAATGAAGTTATAGGGACGCTTCATGATTAATAATTTGATATACGAACAAAAACTCCTTTGCTGATTGACAGAAGGAATATGAATAACCCTAACTGCGGGGAAAAGTGCAACTATGTGCAGAAAGTAGAGATTTTGGAGGAAAGCGATTCGAAATTGTTCGGGTATTTTTTTTGGCCCTGGAAGAATACTCTTAGGTTTTTTTTTCACAACTGAAAGGTCTGCCTTTTTTTCGTTGAAGACTTCACCCTTAGGAAATTGAATATGAGTGTGAGTTGTTTGAAATGGAGATTAAGACAAAAACATTTGGAACGACGTACTTCGAAACAGAGAATAGACTATAGACAGGGTAGAAATCAAGAAAAGAACGAAGAAAGTTAAGCCTCACGGGTCCACCTAAAAAAACAAACAAACAAATTGAACAATAGAGAACACTTGTCACATAGGAACTTTCTAGTAATGGACTAGTTCACAATTGTGTTCTCCGCAGGTCAGCGGTAGAGTATCGGAACGCCAAATCTAAATCGATGTCGTGACGACTAAGATTTTGGCCATGTCTCAAGCTCGTGACAAGGTGAATAACACATTACTATATTAAAAAGAAACTGGCAATCTGCGCTTACCAAGATGTTCTTGATCGTCGTTAAATGCACTTTTACCAAGCTTCACCAGAACAGGAATCATAACAGGTGCAGTCAGGGGGGACTGCAACAGTGGCAGTAGGGTGGTGAGGATGGTGGGGGTGTACATACGCATGGCGTTTGGGTTTGCTGTTATAGCTGTCTCCAGTAGTGATCCTACTTGCACCACTTCCCTTTGAAGCTGAAAGAAACAAAAAGGACTAAAATTTTTGACCGGCTCTCAGAGTCTGAGGTTCTGAGGGGTTATCACGCTATGATTTACCAACATTTTTAAAAGTTTTAAGTAATCTAATAGCAATCAACACAGATCTCCTTACCTCTTTTAATCTGTCTCTTATTTCTGCTTCCTTCATCAGCTGAGCTTCAAAGATTTCTTTTTCCTTCTGGCTCATCTCATCCTTTTCTGAAAGTTTTCCCTCGGCTTTCTTTTTCTTTTTGATTGACTGGAAATAACATGACTCAGGTTAATTCCAGTTCTACTCAGGGAATCCCCTTCAGTCTGTGTCCAAACCTGACTTCTTTAATCATTTTTTTTCCACAGATGTACCACTTTACGAGCAAGGACTGGAACTAGGCAGGTCGTATCTTACGCACCCCAGTCCGTAATCATTCATCCCGCAATAATTTCTCTCCATCATCACGGGTTTGTGGGCGAAAGACAAAAACTTCAAGTAGTTTAACACCATTTTCCGCCTTGAGAGGCCATGTTTCTTTCAGGCACTATAGTTCTTTAACCCCTTAACCCCTAAGAGTGACTAGCATCTAATTTCTCCTTACAATATCATCACTGAATCACACATTAATGTCATGAGAATAAAGGAAATGATCACCAAC